TGTTTGGTTACTTCGACCAAACGTCCTGCAGCCTGGATCCTTATCCTGGGTTTAGGAGGGGTGTTGATTTTTCTAGCCAACCTCTAAGTTGGTTATTCCTGCCAACCTAGAGTAAAGTGTTTGGTTATTCCGACCAAACGTCCTGCAGCCTGAATCCTTATCTTGGGCTTAGGAGGGGTTTCGATTTTTCCAGCCAACCTCTAAGTTGGTTATTCCTGCCAACCTAGAGTAAAGTGTTTGGTTATTCCGACCAAATGTCCTGCAGCTTGGATCTTTATCTTGGGCTTAGGAGGGGTGTTGGTTTTTCCAGCCAACCTCTAAGTTGGTTATTCCTGCCAACCTAGAGTAAAGTGTTTGGTCATTCCGACCAAACGTTCTGCAGCCTGGATCCTTATCCCGAGCTTAGCTGAAGAGAGTGCAAAGTTGGTTATTCTGGCCAACTATGCTTACAACGCGCCTAACTCATTAAAACACTCTTTTACAGAAGGAAACAACTATACTGAAAAGAAACTACTTGTTTTATTAAGAAAGAAAAAATTACAAATACTTGAAAGAATAAGCTAAAAATAAAATAGTTTGAGATTGGCAGTGTTTCATGGCCTGAGAATGGTTTTGCCGTCCTCGTCTTCCAAGTGGTATGCCCCTTTTCCTGCTAATCCAACCACCTTGTAAGGTCCTTCCCAATTAGGCTCTAACTTGCCATCTCCGGGTACCAGGGTGTTCCCTATTACTTTGCGCAGTACCCAATCTCCGGTCTTGAATTGTCTTGGATGTACGGTCTTGTTGTATTTCCTGGATAACTCCTGTTGGTATGAGGCGATATTAACCAGTGCTCTTTCTCTTCTTTTTTCTGCAAGGTCGAGCTCTAATGCGATGGCTTCTCCATTTAAGTCTGGATCAAAATTTTCGCTTCGAATGGTGGGGAGGCCAACTTCTAGTGGGATTACTGCTTCCATGCCGTAGGCTAAGAAGAATGGTGTTTCTCCCGTTGATCGTCGAGGTGTGGTTCGGTAAGCCCATAAAACATGAGGAAGCTCCTCAGTCCACTTTCCTTTTGCTTTCTCTAACCTTTTCTTCAATCCATCCAAGACAACTTTGTTCGATGCTTCTCTCTGGCCATTTACTTGGGGGTATGCCGGAGTAGAGTTGTAGAATTCTATCTTGCACTCCTCACAAACCCTCTAAAAATTTTGCCATTGAACTGGGTGCCGTTGTCTGATATCAGCGCCTTGGGTATACCAAACCGAGTGATGATATTCTGCCAGACGAACTTCTTCACATCTTTCTCCTTTATTGATGCTAGTGCTTCTGCTTCTACCCACTTTGTGAAGTACTCTGTTGCCGCAAGGAAGAACTTTCTGTTGCCGGGTGCTGTTGGAAGTGGTCCTACTATGTCCAAGCCCCACATTGCGAAGGGCCATGGGCTAGTTAAAGGTAGAAGCTCTCTGGATGGCTGATGAATTTGGTGTGTGAACTTCTGACATTTCTCGCACTTCTTGACATACTTTTCTGAATCTGCTTGCATGTAAGGCTACCAATATCCCTATGAAATTGCTCTGTAAGCAAGGTTCTGAAAAACGGTTGCGGTCGCCGTAACGGTGGCGGTGACGCGGTTGCGGTGGCGGTGCAACCGGAACTGTGAATTTTTTTATTTTTCGCACAATTTGCAAAAAACTTACCGATACGCATATTTTTTTTTAGAATCATATTTATTGGGTTTTAAAATAAATTTAGATAATTTTTTCGTAATTTTTAAGTATGATCCAATATATTTTATATTTTTAAATCACTATAAAATAATTTTTTTTACATTTTATTTCAATAATTAATGACTTTATATGTCATAAATCCATGTTACACTTGTGACAAAAATTTCTTTTATTGGACTTAGATGTATAAAATTATTTTTAATTATTATACTTGTGGAAGCATATGTGCATTTTAACTCAAATTGTTTTAAAAAAGTATACATTCTTAATGGAAGAACTTGACAAAATACATAACATCATAGCATAAATCACAAATAATAGAGAGTACATTTTACATAATGTTAATACTAAAATTACATAATGTCACCACCAAAATGAGTGGCGTGGTGCATCTTAGGATTCAGATTGTTGAGCTTGATTGTTGCTACTACCTTTACCCCACCAAAATGAGTGACGTGGTGCATCTTGGGAATCAGATTGTTGAGCTTGATTACTACTACCTTCACCCCATCCAATAGGAAATATATAAGTAAATGTGTTCATCATGTCATCCCTTTCTGTTTCGTGCATTGGGAGAGAAAATGGATACCTTGGCTGAAAAGGATCAACATACTCTTGTTGGGCTTGTTGATAATTTGGCAAACCGTATCCTGGAGGACCATGTTGTTGAGGGGGCCAAGGATAATTTTGTTGAGGTGGATAAGGATAGCTTTGGCTATTACTGCTATAGGATAGGTAAGGATGATATGGATAACTATGACTACTATCAGATGAATCAAGCTGTTATTCTCTACTTATTATTCTTCTTTCATCTTTACGTGTATCACTACCACGAAACCTCCTAGTTGTTGAGGGGGCCAAGGATAATTTTGTTGAGGTGGGTAAGGATAGCTCTGGCTATCACTGCTATAGGATGGGTAAGGATGATATGGATAACTATGACTACTATCAGATGAATCAAGCTGTTGTTCTCTACTTCTTATTCTTCTTTCATCCTTACGTGTATCACTACCACGAAACCTCCTAGGTAGTTGGGGTAAAGGTGCAATAGGTTCTCCAATATCATAATGTTCCCCAACATCACATAATCCAAATCCTCCAATAAAATATTCACTTCCTGCACCAAAACTAGTACCATCACCGCCATTACCACCATTGTCGCCGCCACCACCACCACCGTCACCGTGAGAAATGCCTTCACCATCACCATTATCACCTCCTCCATCAGTTGGTGTTAAACCACCACCATTATCACTTTGAGTTGGAGTAGGAGTTGAGCTTTGAGAAGTGCGTCGAGCTTGATATCTATGGGTGCCACCACTATCGTTTCCATCGCTGCCATCGCCGCCATCGCCATTGTTGTCGTTGCCACCACCACCACCATCATCTAAGACCAAATCTAGCCATTCAGAATTATCCACACCATCTAGCAAAGGATTTTCCCTTTCTTCTATCCATGGACTTATTGGATCATCTTCTTCAAATATATAATCCAAGGTAATAGGATTAAAACTCCTATCAATCTCCTCTTGGCTGCTTCTTTTAACGTATCTCAATTTTAATTTCATGTTGTAGGTGATGAAGACTAATCTTTGGATTTTCTTATATTTCAATCTATTCCTCGTCTTCGTATGGATGAGACTAAAAGTACTCAAATTATGTTCACAATGAGATGATGTGGTGGTTTGACTTAATACTTTCACAGCTATTTTTTGAAGTTCAGGAGCACAACTGCCATGACTAATCCACCACTCAGCTGCACAAAATTACATTACATTAGACATAAGTCAAAATATGATAAAAAATTATTTAAGTATTTATATATTGTAAATTTGTAATTTTGAAAATAAAACATGGATTTGATTGTTTCCATGCTCTTTGTGCTAAAGGAGTACCAAAAGTTTCCTGTTTATCTCGAAACAGCAACAATTACAATTTGGACAATCATTACAAGTAACATTTGCAAAAGTAGATTATTACTATTAAAATTTAAATAATTGGTACGCACTTGATTTGTTGCTTTCACTTGAGCATCCATATTAGGCTCCAGTCTGGTAATTACTTTTTTAAGTCCATCCATCACTTCTCTTATCATTTCATTGGATGAGGTAACATCATATTGGAATTGAGGATTTAAGAAATATCCTTCAAAAATAAGAAGACAATTAATAATTGTAAATAAATATACATTTTATAATTGAAATCGTAACACTTACTAGCTGCATGCAAATCTTGATGCAATTGAAAAGACCATCGAGTATCAATAATTTTCCAATACTCGGTGTAGTAGCGACAATCTCTTTTAATTGCCAACTTTGCTCTATCTATAGCTTCATATATGAAACCCATTGTTGGCTTCTCATCTCTATCAACTAACCTCAATACTCTGACAATGGGCAGGTTTTTGTATATTTGTTTTATTGAAATTCATTTATTTGGGTCAACTTTTAGATCCCTATCTACAAAAATTAGAATTAATTTTTTTTTGTTAAGTTTCTAATTTTTCTCTATAATTTTAGAATTTAGAATTATACTAAGATGAACAATAAGAAGGCAAATATCCCAATTTGATTTAAAGAAATTCTTTAGCCACAACTGCAGATAATGTTGGTGCAACAATATATGCTCAAGGTGTTGAGAAGTGAATTAGTAGACATGACAAATGATGCATGGCAAGAGCATCATGTAAAATATTTTCACCATTTGATTGTGACTGGAAATGTGTTATCTTCACATTGATGACAAGAAACTGATTTTGATATTGTAATCTGAGAAATTCTACAAAACCAAGTCTTTGAAATACCAAATCTTGGATTTTTGTAAGAAGGGACTATATACTTAAATGGAAAAAAATAGGAATAAGCACTTAGTTAAATTAAAGTCTTGACAGTAAAAAAAGCACTCTGCTTTGCTGCGTCCATTGGATTTGCAACCGCCTCTCTTAGCGCTAAAAAGGCCACCAATTGAACCAATCCGACAACAAGACCTTCTCTAATCCAAAAATCATTGCGAATGAAGTTGTTATCTGAAAAAGTGGAATCGGAGGTTGAATTGAGATTGTCAGGATGCAATATAGAATTGGAATTGTCATGTTCTGAGTAAAATGGAATGTACTAACCTATCTACGACACATTGTTGTTTTGTAATGTTTATTATGCCTGTGTATTTCTAGGAGTGTGCTTCCTAAAAATGCTCTTTTGGTTTGTGAATTATATAATTTATGTATATACATACATAATTCATGTATTTGTCTGTATTGTTTAAAAAACAGAGGAGCAGAGAGATGAAAAGATGATTGAGAGGGCTTATAAAAAGCTTGCTCTTGATGCTTTAGTGATCCAACAAGGGCGATTAGCAGAACAAAAGAGTAAGTTGTTTTTGTAGAGGTTACCTTATCATGAATTTATATTCAAATTAATGTGAGCAAAATACTTTGATAGTTTATTGATTATTTTTTAATTTGTTTTGGCAGCTGTTAACAAAGATGAGCTGCTGCAAATGGTGAGGTTTGGTGCTGAAATGGTTTTCAGTTCTAAGGATAGCACAATTACCGATGAGGATATAGATTGGATCATTGCTACAGGAGAAGAGGCAACAGCTGAGCTTGATGCTAAGATGAAGAAGTTTGCTGAAAATGTAATCAAATTCAAAATGGATGACAGTATGTGGATTGATATCGAGATTTATTTATTAAACATTTTTTTAATTTATGTTTTTGCAACTGAGGCTAAGTACAACTTGTCTGGGTTTTCGCAACTGCTGATCTATATGATTTTGATGATGAAAAGGTACAGATCATTCTTGCATATGTTCAGCTATTACTCTGGACTTTTATTACCAAAATACCATGATTCGCGATTCGATTCACAATTTGTTTATCTTTTGGTTAATGTTGTTTGAAGTAAAATACTTTGATTTGATTATTTTTTAATTTGTTTTGGCAGCTGTTAACAAAGATGAGCTGCTGCAAATGGTGAGGTTTGGTGCTGAAATGGTTTTCAGTTCTAAGGATAGCACAATTACAGATGATGATATAGATCGGATCATTGCTAAAGGAGAAGAGGCAACAGCTGAGCTTGATGCTAAGATGAAGAAGTTTACTGAAGATGCAATCAAATTCAAAATGGATGACAGTATGTGGATTGATATCGAGATTTATTTATTAAACATTTTTTTACTTTATGCTTTTGCACCTAAGGCTAAGTGCAACCTGTCTGGGTTTTCGCAGCTGCTGATCTATATGATTTTGATGATGAAAAGGTGCAGATCATTCTTGCACATGTTCGGCTATTACTCTGGACTTCTATTGCCAAAATATCATGATTCGCGATTCGATTCGCAATTTGTTTATCTTTTGGTTAATGTTGTTTGAAGTAGATTTCTATTTATTTTTTTTCATTCTTTGTTTAATTTTGATGAAGGATGACAACAAGTTGGACTTTAAGAAAATTGTCAGTGACAATTGGCTTAAACCACCAAAAAGAAAGAGAAAGCGCAAGTAATAGTTATGCTTCAATTAGAATATCTAGGTTTGTACATATCTATTGGTCTAATATCTGGGTCTATCTGGGTTTAGAATTTGAGTTAGTTTATACCCAAATCTTGCACATGCCCAAATCTTTTTTTTTTTTTTTTAGAACAAAACACAACAACACAAATATATTAAGCTAAATAGAGTGGCTTACAGTAGTTGCAAGAAGGTGAGCATCTTGAACTACATCTCGCTCCACCTTCTCTAAGACAACATGATGAAACAGTTTACAATAATACAATATATCAGTCAAAATGGATTGGAGTCTCCAATCATGGTCTTGATCGTGGTTTTGGAATAACAGTACTATGACTAAGCAGTCCGTTTGTAAGAGCAGACTGGTAATGCCGTATTTGGTATACCCAAATCTTGGTTAACACTCTGGCTGACTTGGTTAACACTATGGTTCTCTCTCTCATTCATTCATCTAATATCTGGGTTTGTATCTACTATGGAGTTTGTATTCATTTGTATTCAAAAGTTTGTGTTTGTGTTTGTGATATGGTTTCTATATTCATCTGATATGTGATATGAATTTGTATTCATTTGTATTGCAGGGGTTTATAGTTTATACATATCTAACTGGAGGGGTTTTCATCTGATATGTTTTCATTTCTATATCGATATGTATTGGGTTTCTATGTTTTGGATTGCTCTAAGAGGGGTTTATAGTATACATATATGCTACATACTGTAAATACCCATATGAATGTATTGGGTTTTCATTTCTATATAGTGTATTCATCTGAATGTAAATATATAGTGTAAATACCCATATAGTGTATTCATCTGATATGTTTTCATTTCTATATCTATATGTATTGGGCTTCTATGTAAATACCCATATTGCTCTAAGAGGGGTTTATAGTATACATATATGCTACATACTGTAAATACCCATATGAATGTGTTTAGATTGAAATTGACATTGACAATTATAGTATACAATGAAATTGACATTGACAATTATACTGTTTATAGTATACATATATGCAACATCTGCTCTAAGAGGGGTTCATGTGAATTGAAATTGACAATTACAAATTGAATCGATAATTTAGATTGTTAATCTAAGAATAATTTATGTGACCAAAAGTAAAAAATAAAAACTAAACACCATATCAAAACTTCACCTAATGATGTAAAAGTTTTTTTTTTTAAGTTGTAGAACATGGTATTTATAATACAAATTTAAAACGATTTTGATGAAATGGACTTGATGTCCAGCAACCTAACTTCCTTTGTTGCTCTAAACTGATAGCAACTTATATGGGTTGCTCTAACCATATATATAATAAAGCAAATTCGTTTTCTTCTCTTAATTTTTGACTTTCACTCTGCTTCTGTTTTTAATTAAATACTCTCACATGCAAATACTTCAATTGTTGATGTTTCTGGTTTTTCATCATTTCAAGTCTGCTCAAATTTATATACTTCAATAGTTTTATCTGACGACTATAAGTATAAGTTTTGTTAGTGTTTCACCTTTCTCTTTGTGCCAAAGTTTTAATAATAATGTTGCATTTATGTTCTGTATAAATGCACTAATCCTTAATAAATAGAAATATTTATTTGACACATCTTGAAAGATAAATTTTTTTTTTTCCAGGTAGCTTTAATTGTTTTCCTTTCCCACATTGGAAGTTTTGTATAATAATGTTGCATATATGTTCTGTATAAATGTACTAATCCTTAATAAATAGAAATATTTATTTGACACATCTTGAAAGATAACTTTTTTTTTTTCTTTTTTCTTTTAGGTAGCTTTAATTGTTTTCCTTTCCCATATTGGAAGTTTTGTACCTACAGATGTTGCTACTGTAGGTTTGACTGACAGGTTCGATTTTTATATCCCTGGCCTTTTGGTATCATTAATGTTTTTGGTACTGCATTTTTGCATATTTTACTACGAGAACTTACCAGAATTCCAAAAAATAGGATATTTTGTGCCATGGGAAGCAAATTTATGAATGTTGAACAATCAACATTTGTGATTGATCTACATCAAGTTGGAATGATACTAAGGTATAGTTACACAGTTTTCTCTTAACCTACTAATAATGGACATGGGATTGATATTGTTATCTTGCTGCCATATTTGAAAGTGGGGTTCAAGTGCCAATTAATCGAGGGTTATCGCTAATTAATTTGTTTCTTTGCTTCTGTTTAAATTTTGAATTCCTAAAGTATCTTAGAGATTGTTGAGTTTATGTAAGATTGATGCTGAGTTAAAACTCTTCCTCTAAAGTTCTTGGTTTTTGTTTTTAAGGTGGAAAGAGCTTTCATTTCATCATTTTATAGTGTGGGTTATACAATATATTTGGATTGGAGGTTGTTCACTTTATATGAGATTGATGTTGAGTTGAATTCTTCATCTTTTGTGTATGTTATCATATTTATTAAGTGAGTTTTTTTTTTCTTTTTTTTTGTGTGTGTGTGTGTGTGTATTTTCTAGCTTAGAGTTGATTTTAGCTTTATTTACTTTTGTTTATATCTTAGATATTGTTGAGTTTATGTAAGATTGATGCCGAGTTAAAACTCTTTCTTTTTCGTGTACGAAATCAAAGTCCTAAATTTCGAACTGGCAAGGTAAGATTGTTTGTTTTGATTTTGGTTGCTTTGGTCACTGTTGTTTTGATTTTGAAATTAGAAATTACGAAGAAGGTGTTTTTCGGATAATTTACTTTTGGTGTATTTTTTTGTTGCTGAGATTTTAAAGGAAAAAAAAAAGGAAAAGAACAATTTGGGGTTTTGGTGACCGAAGTTCATATTTTTTTTTATAAAAAAAAAATAAAAATTGTATTTTCAACGTTTTGTTAGTAGCTGAATAGATTTTTACTCAATACTCATGTTTATACTGTAGAACACGAGATTCAATATTAAACATGCTTGCTAAATATGTAGGACATGAGATTTCCTTTTGGAGAATATGAGATTACAAATTTGAAATTACAGTTTTAACTTAGTACTCCTGTTTATACTATATATGTATGAAATTGCAGTTTGAAATTACCCTTCGAACTCGCACTCGCAAGGTAAGATTGAGAATTGTTTTAGTCTTTTTTTCCGCTTGAGAATTGTTTCAGTATTTTTTGTTTTTTTTTTATTTCCTATTTTTTGGTAATTCTTATTATTTAAAAATAAATAAAGTCTAAAAATGAAATTAAACCGCGTGTGTTTCATCATCTAATTTTGCTTCTCTAATTCCACCTCTAATGATGTAGAATTAAAGAGGCTAATTCTTTATAAGTTTTTTTAAGAAGAAGAGTACTTCTTTATATTTTTTCAATATCTTTATTAAAAATTGACAAGACTCTACAAATTTGAACATGATATGTATAAATTGCAATTACATTTTAATCTCAACATTATTTATACCGTGCTTTTAAGCACGTGCATACACTAATATATATATAAGTAAGGATATTTTCATCATTTTATTTGAACTTGTCCAATCACTTGACTTTCACCAAACAAAATTAAAATTTAGACTTACAGACCGGCTATCTTAAAATTTATTGTTGATGCTATGAGAATCTGGTAGTTAACCCCTAATGATAGATTAACAAGAGAAAAAAAGGAAACAAATTGAAAAAATTTGAATATTTAGGTGAGAAGTATAATTTTTGGGGTAACTTGGCAACTCAACTAAGGTCAAGTTTGGCATAACCTAAATAATACAAAAAGTCAAAAAGTCACTATCCTATTTAAGTCACATCATCTTATTTAAATCACATCACCTCTCTAACACATCACATCAAACACAATCTAAATCCAACCCATATAAGCCAATAAACTAAAAAGTGCACTTTTTTAGAACATCCCAAACTAACCCTAAAAGTTAATTTTTAACTTTTAATTTATTTTAAATTACATTACATTACATTTTACATTTTTACATAAAAAAATAAAAATAAATAAAAAATCAACTTTTAACCGCTTCCTAAATGACCCCTCCATAACATGAGGAGCTCAAAATACTTTTCATAAACCCGAAAACTATTTGTAATTTGGACTTTTGTTATCTGCTTAGATATGCCAATCAAGATGAAATAGTTGACATTCCTTCAATCCCGAAATAATGGGTGTGTTTGGTTTGTGTTTGAGAGATGTATTTTAGAGATAAAAAGTACGAAAAGTTGTTTGGTTTAGTTTTTTTCAAAAGATGTTTTGGAAAATTATTTTGACAAAGAGTTTTGGAAAAAGTGATTGATTTGATGTGTGTGAGAGAGAGATTTGTTTGGAAAACTTGTTTGGTTTACAAGTTTTGAGAAATTTTTTTGGAAAAATTTGTTTGGTTTGATTACTTTTAAAAACTTATTTGTAGAGAAAATTTTCCAAAAATTTTTCACAAATACAAACCAAACGAACCCTAATAGTCTCTTCCGAAATATTTAAATGATAAGAAGAGATTAATAATTTTAAATAATAAAAAACTAAGACTCCGTTTAGTAAGGCTTTCTAATTATAATTTGAGAATATGAGTTATATTTTGAGTTTATGTGTTTTGAAATTATGATTTGAGTATAGAACATTTGTTTGGTTATGATTTTTAAATAGAGTGTTGAATTTAGTGTGCAATTGCGTTTTGAAAGTTTGATTTGATACGTGAAGTAAGAAAATTTGTTTGGTTATGTGTTTTGAAAATAGTTTTTAAAACTTAATTCAAATTTTTATAACTCATAACAAAACACACTACTTTCACACTATTAAAAATTCTGATCAACATCATAACCAAACTTTTTTAAAATTTAATTAAATTTTTGTTATTAACAGAAAATAGCATTAATCAAATTTTTAATTGAAAATACTACAAAGGAAACAATTGTTTTTTCAAAATAAATATTCAAAAAATTTAAATCATAAATATTTAAATAATTTAAATAATCTAAAAGATTTAATAAGTAAAAAATTAAAATAAATATTCAAAAAATTTAATAAGTAAAAATTTAAATAATATAAAATTTTAATATTTTAAATTTAAAAACAACTCTAAAAATATTTTTAGAAAATAAATATTGAATTTATTTTTATAAAATATTTTAAAATTTTAAAAAATAAAATAGTAATATTAAAAATTAAAATATTCAAAAAAAATTAAAAAAATTGTAATATATTTAAATATTTAAATATTTAAAATCTTAACAAAATTAAAATATTTTAAAAAAATTAAAATATTTAAAAAATTAAAATATAATTGAGTTTTGAAAAGAGTTTTGAATTATATGTGTTTGATTATAAGTTTTAAAAAATAATGATTATGTTTTGAATTGAGTTTTGAGAAATGAGTGTAGAATTATGATTTGAAAACTCAAAATAAACACCATACTCAAATCAGTAGATGAAATTATAATTTGAAGAGCTTACCAAACGGAACCTAATATTTTTTTTTAAAGGGAGGGAGTATCAAGAATTACAAAGTTGATCTCGCGAGAGAATCAAGAGGAGGCTTCATGATAAGAATCATGAGGTTGGCCTCATCCTATACTTTTTACTCTGTACATTAATGTAACCAAAAAGAACCGTACACAATACACTGTACAGTGTCGTCACACTAGTCAAGTTAACACTAACTCAACCACGGTTAGTTAACCCACCACCCCAGTTACGTTACACCCCTACCCCAGTTAGCGAGAAAGGTCGCCAACAACACAATAAATAAATAAATACTAACAAATAATTTGCAAAACTAACGACGTTAAAGATTCCGTTAAATAGGCTAACGGCGTGAAGTAGAGTGTAGTGTTCGAGTGCGACACGTTTACGGCGTATAATAAGACGGGCCTGACGATTCGAAAGAGGATAGATCTGGACGGTCGGATGAATGATGAACGGTTGGTGATGAACGGTTGGGATGCAACGGAGAGTGGAGTAGAAATGGGAGGGTATAAAAACGGGGTTGTGTTCGAGAGGAAAAGAGAGCATTTCGTGTTTTTTTTTTTAATTATCAGAAGCCGCTTCTTTTCTTCTCTGTTTGTTATCTCTATCAATTTTCTTTTTCACTTTCTCGGAAAATAAAAGAAAGCAGAGAGATTTTCCGGGAAAATTCCACGAGATTTCTCAATACTGAAATGTGTTGAAGTTTTTGTTGAAGACAGCCTTTGATTTTGTGTTTGTTTTGTGTGATTGGTTCTCTGAAATCACTGTGTGTGTGGAGCTGAGAGGTCTGTAATTTGCTTCGATTTGTTGCGATTAATATATTGAAATTAATTTGTGTTCTGTTTGATATTGTTTCACAGATACATTTCAAGAGGTTTGAAGGGGTTTCCAGAAGGATTTGAAGTGGATTTGGCTTTGATTTCCGAGCTGTTCGTTAAGATTTGCTTGATTCATTGCAGATTAGAGAGAGAATGATTGTTCAGAGGTTTGTAATCGAAACACAGTCCCATTTTCTAACATCTTTTCATGATCAATACTAGAAATAACTTGTTTTTGGATGAATCTTTGTTGAACAGGTACATTTCTGGGAGATATTGAAGCAATTTTTTAACGACATCTGAACTACAGAGATCAGTTTCTGGGTTTGAAAGATCGGAATATAAACGAATTCCGACCATTCAAGCTTTGAAATGTCGTCATTTTCTTAGAAATCAACTATAAATTTCTATATCCACAATCTCAAGACTCGAAAATCGAAGCTTTGGTTGAATTCACGGTGTTGTGGTGGCAAATCTGCTATCAATTCCAAAAAACTGAAGAGAAATTCAAACTAAAAAAGGTATGAAATCAATATCTTTGGGAAAAAATCGAAAAAAATGGAAAAAAAAGAAGAGAGAGATGAAGTTTGATCTTTGCAATTTAGGTGATGATTTGTTTTGCTTTGGTATTAGTGTTTTGGGCAAATCGATGTCTCTCTAAAAGGTTAATATATGATTCATTTGAGCCGTTGCTCTGTTTCTCAAGCACTTTCAGGCCTTTTTGTTTTTTCAATGCGAAGCTGACCATTCAAGCTTTTCCGATTCGGATCCTTCATTTCTTAGATTTGCATTTTGGTTCTATAATTTTCTTCCAGCTAGCTGTTTCAAAATCTTCAGTTTCAGCAGCCAATCAGCTCTCTCTCTCTCTCTCTGTGTTATGTGTTTCAGTTTGATCGGTCCTTTTCTTCGTGTTTTTGTTACTAATTTGATTTTTTTCTGTCGAGTTTGAATCTAAATTTGGTTTTTATTTTTATGTTTTTTCAATTTTTCTAAATATACGTTTTCATTCCTTGTTTAGTGTTTCTCGATGGAGATTCGTCATCGATTCAGCAATTCGCTTCTCTCTCTCTCTCTCTCGATGGAGATTCTTCTTTGAAAGTCCTATCTTTTTAGGAGTTCGAAGTTTTCTCAATGTTCCTCCGTTAAACTGCTCTGAGATCCTTTTTCCGAATTTTAGTCCTCTGTTTGGCCGCCGAGAAAATGTAAGCTGAGGATAACAGATTGATATTTGAATCGAGAAAAGTGTTTTCGAAGTTTCTTCTTTTTGTCCCATTTTCTCACTTGGTTCTCTATAGCAGAACAGCAAATGCAGAAGGAAAACTTTCCATTTTTCTCTTTAGATGTTGCCTAGATCTTCTGCAACTTGAAGTTTATAATTTCGGAAAAAAATTTAATTGTCATCATCTTTAATTGTTAAATTTCTATCATCTTTTGTTTGAATTTGTAGGAAGTTGCAGAGAGAGAGAGAGAGAGAGGGGAGAGAGATCCCTATCTTTCTTCTTTTTCCTTCTTTTGTGGATTGTGTTTAATTATGAGAGTAGTGTTAAGTTAACCATGGTTTGATAAAGAAACTAACCCCAGTTATTGTGACAGGTTTGCTATAGGAGAGGAAAAAAGAGTGATGGAGAAGAATAATTATAACCACCCCCACAACAATCGAGAAAGACTAGGAGTATTAGGTGGTGGTGGTGGAGATCATGGATTGTTGAGGTCCATAACACATCCGCCGGAGACACGATCGTCGGCGACGGCGGCGGCCACCACGACGTCGTCGGACTTTGTTTTGCAGTGGGGGAACCGGAAGCGGCTCAGGTGCATGAAGATGCAGGCCAAGGACCGCAACGCCGACTCGGCGTCTGCGGCGGTTCACCGAACCACGGTTCGAGTGGACCGCCGGGTCGTCAGATCTGATACCAATAATGATGCTGCTTCCCATCAACCGTTGTCGACAACGACGGCAATTAATGGGAATGGTTATTTGAATCTCCGGCAACGCTCTTCGTCGCCTTCTCATCGCATTCTGAGGTATGTTATAAACCTTAATTGGTGGCGCGTGTGCTTCACGCTCCGCTCATGTTCGTAATTTTTTTATTTTTCATTTTTTTGATTGGGTGATGTTTATGTTTTTGGATTATAAATTTAATTTAAAATTTTAAAAAATAAAATAAAAGTTATTAATTTTTTAAATCACTGTTTAAATTTATAAATTAAACACAGCAGTAGAAGATCAAATATGGGCTTCGACTGTGTTTTGATTATATCTGTGCTTGAATCATAATTTTGAATGAAGATTTAAATAATAATAATAATAAGAAAATAATTTATATTTCTTTTATTTTTTGTCTTTTTCCATTTAAATTTCTATTAAAATCGATGATGCAAATGGTGGTGTTTGGGAAGTTGGCGACTTGGGCTATTTTTTTCACAAAAAGACAAAGGGTATGTTTGGTTTGTGTTTGAGAGGTGTGTTTTAGAGATAAAAAGTACGAAAACATGTTTGGTTTGATTTTTTTTTAAAAATGTTTTGAAAAATTATTTTGAGATAGAGTTTTGGAAAAAGTGATTGATTTGATGTGTGTGTGAGAGATTTGTTTGGAAAACTTGTTTGGTTTACAAGTTTTGGGAAATTTTTTTGGGAAAATTTGTTTGGTTTGGTTATTTTTGAAAACTTATTTGTAGAGAAAATTTCCCAAATTTTTTTCAGAAAATCAAACCAAACGAGCCCAAAGGGTCTGTTTGGCAGTGTTTTTGAAATTTAATTTTATTCCTTTGTTTGAGTGTGTTATTTGGTTAAAATTTTAGAAAATTAATTTTATACCTATTTTTTAAAATATTTTTTAAAACACTCATTTTTTAATATTATATGTCATATCACTCAATTTAAACTCATAATTAAACAAAATTTTCACTAATTTTAAAATTTACAAATTCAAAATACAACTCTATTCTCAAATCATAATTCTAAAACTCTCACAAATAAAAAAAAAAAAAAAACCAAACTTTTTTTAAACACAAACTATTTAAAACATAAACTATGTTTTTAAAAATTATGTTTTTAACCAAACTATAATTCACAAACACAAACACAAATCAAAAACATAATTCACAAACACAAATAAAAAAAAAAAACCAAACTATGTTTTTAACCAAACTATGTTTCCAAACACCCACATAGTTTAAAAAAATTCATTTATGAATGAAGTAAAATCTAATTTAATAATTATTGTAACATAATTTAATTTTATGATAATGAATTTATAATATATTTATTATTTTTTTTTCAATAAGTTATCATTTAAATATGTTTTTTGATCAAATTTTTTTTTGAATGAAACGTGTAACACTTATAACATAAAAATTAGATGGACAAAATTATGAAAGTGGTTCCTTTGTGGCTCCAAATCAGCAACACAGTACATAACAGATCATAGAGAAGTTTTATACTTTAGGTTTATTTATAATAATAATAAATAAATAAAATCTACTTTTCAGTATTGGTTTTGGTTTTTCATTTTTAGAAAAACAAAATTTAGGAAAAATTTAAAAAATCCTTAAAATTTGGCCCTTATAATAAAATAAATATTGAATTTTTAATTTTATCAATTTAAATATTTTATTTTTAATTTGTTTTTAGTTTAAATAATTTGCTTATTTTCCTTAAATAAAATAGTTCGAAAATTGAAATTTTAGTCATTAAATTCAATATAAGTATATATAAAACGTTTAAATTAATTTTTTTTCATCGAGTTTAATGACATTTTTTTTTCACTAGTTTTGTTTAATAAAAATAGGCGAATGTTCAAATTAAAAAATAAATCAAAATATTAAGATTTAAATTGATAAAATTAAAAACTTATTAGGTTTTATTTTATTAATTGGCTCCGACTTTTGGGATTGTTTTTTTTTTTTTTGTAATTGTCTCAAAAATTTATAATTGCAAAATTTTAGAAATTAAGCTCCATTTGACCTTTTAAAAAAAAAAATCTCAATATTTTGTGTTAAGTAATGGGCACCAGACGTTTTACCAAATTAATTAATTTTTGTTGATATAAAACTTCTTTTAAACTTTTTCATCTATTTTAAATTTTTTATTCTAATTTTGATATTAAACAATCTGTGATTATATTACTGTTATGATTGACTTTTTGGTTAATAGTCAAAATTCAGCCTTTTAATCTATTTTTTGGTTACATCATTTTTTATAATTTTTATATTAATTTTTTTAAATTTTTTTTAATAAAAAGTCAAAAATTCAATTTTTAAAGGGGGGTGTTTTAGAATCAATTATGCTAGTAATTCTTTTATTTTTTACGAAAATACATTTGAAGAAAATAGAGATGAGATGTTAATTTAATTTTTTGGCTTATTTTAAAAAGTAGAGAACAGAAATTATTTTTTTATTTTTTTTATTCTAAAATAATAGGGAGATAATATAATTTGAATGAGTTAATAACCTAATAAATTAATTTTTTTTCTTGTGAAAATTGGTCTTTATTGTCGTCTTTTGATTTTTAGACTTAAGTATGTGCTGCCGCAAAACAATACGTAAGGACTTGTCTGTGTAGGTGGTTTGGTAATGATTTTTTTAATTAATTTTTAATTTTTTTTTAGTTGGAGATTTTTTTTATTTGTTTAGTTTTTTTTTTGTTTGATTTTTTTTGACTTTTTAAATTTGGAATGAAATTTTTTTTTGACTTTTTGTTATTTTTTGTTATTTTTTGATTTTTTTTGTGTTCTTTTGTGATTTTTTAGCTTGGGGTAAAAATCAAACGGGGGCTAATTGTGTTTAGTTGAAAAATTTGAGAAGAAATTAGAAAAAAATAAAAATAAAATGGTGGTGCAACATGTATTAATTGGGTTTTTTAGCCTGGGATGAAAACTAAATTGGGGTTTAATTGTGTTTGGTTAAAAAATTTGAGAAGAAATTAAAAAAAAGAGAAACAAAATGGTGGGGGTGACACGTATCAATTGATATATTAATTAATGCATTAATATATGTTATGATATTGTCATTTTAAAATTATAATTTTATTCATTATATAAATAATGAAAATTAAATTTTTTAAAAATTATGTTGTATTATCAATTAGGACATTATAATATTGTAAAAAAAATAGATAATATATATATTTTTTTAAAAAAACGTAGGTGATTTCTAGGGAAGTGGCATGGGTTTGGTTTGGGGCCTTAAAATTCTGAATAGAAATGGGTGGGGGGGATTGTTGTTAGTTGGACGTGGACCCATGGGTGTCCTTTGTGTGGTGTTGTCACTCACGTCACATGTTTTTGGACATGAGTGAGTGACCCACCCAACCCCACTAATAGGTTCTTCATTTCGATTGTGGCCTTTAATGTGCCAAATGATGAATTTTACTTCCATTAATTAAATCTTTTCAAATTCTAATCTTAATTAGCTAGTAAACCCCTTAAAATTCATAACCCCCCCCTAAAAAAAATAAAAAATAAAAAAGTGAATAAGAATTTTAAACAAATTTAAGATGTATTCGATCTTGTCTATTTTTGTATATAAATTTTTTCATTAAAAAAAAAACCCATAAAATAGGTCGTTACAGTATTTACCTATGGACTGTGGGACCACGTTTGAATTATTGAAATTATGGCAGGTCTAGGCAAACCTTTCCTAGTAGTATTGTTATCACTAGGTAGGAGTTGGAGTATGATCGTCAAGCTCAAGTCAAACTTTCTGGAGTCAATAGTAATCAAAAACGAAAGTCGTCGTGAAAGAGGTTCACGGTATCTCTTTACGTCGACCGCATCTGATCACATCTCCCATACCCGAAGAAGCAATGATTGGTCCGTCATCTAAAGCGGATCGATAGCTCTCATGCCACGTGCACACCTCAAAAGAACCGTTTTCCTATACTGACCGTCCGATTCCGTTTTCTCTGTGATTGTGACACGTAGCCATAACATAAATAGGAAGAACCTCATCTGACGGTTGAGATCGTGACAGCATCCAAAATCCCCTCACTTTTCTTTGTATTCCCCAGCTGTGCAGGTAGATTGGATCGCACACTTTTGTCTCAAATATCTTCGCTTTTTATTTTTATTTTTATAAAAATAAAATAAAATAAAAGATAAAAAGATAAAAAAGCACGAATATTAAAGCCGATCTAGCAGCAAATACCAGGGACTTTCCCAAAACAACCCTCCTTGTCTACGCAAAACCACAAGAAGATTATTCACCGATCACGATCGCCCTCAAGGCTATATCAGTAATTTCCTTAATATTTATGTTGTTTTTATTATTGTTGAATTGTTGAATATAATATTTGGATATTTATATATTAGTATGTTGTGATGGAATGTGTTTTATTATTTGTTTGTTTTGTATGGAGATAGGAATTCAGATAGTTCGATTGCTATGAAGTGCCACAGCAACGGTGCGAGGGGGTTGTCCTCTCCTGACAGGGGGGTTGCGCAGGATAAGAGAGGTGCGCATCATAACACCACCACCAACCACCACCTTATTAATCCTAGTGCTGCTAATAATGATAATAATGGCGGTGGTGGGGGGTCGGGGTCGTCGGAGACGGCGCACGATAGCAAGAAAGGAGGAGGAGGGACGTCGTCGGGGGGAAGCGATGCGATCCCGGCGGTGTGGCCACCGAAGTTTGTGATCGCGCTGACGAACAAGGAGAAAGAGGAGGATTTCATTGCGTTCAAAGGATCAAAGCTGCCTCAGAGACCCAAGAAGAGAGCCAAGTTCATTCAACGCACCCTCAATGTAAAACTCTCTCTCTCTCTCTCTCTCTCTCTCTCTCTCTCTCTAACGAAAAATACTATTCACCACAAAATTTCTGAACTGTTTTCCCACTTGAAAAAGTGAAAAAATTATTTAGAACTTGTTTGGTCCTATTTTTTACAAATTAAAAATTAATAATAAAAAAAAGTTGAAAAACATTTTTTCTTTTAAATTTTTATTATTATTGTTTTTGTGTAGCACCAATTTTTATTTTTATTTTTATAAATTGAATTAAAAAACAAGAAGATTTAATTTTTTTTTTTGGATCGGAATCAAGAAGATTTAATCAGTCTCAATAAATTGCACCAAAGAAAGGTAATAAGTTGGTATTATTGTCAACATAATTGTAATTCAACTAAGAAAAAACCAAATAAAATTCTAAAACTTCCGAGGTTGTTTACTTTGTTTACAACATGTTATTTTAATAATTTTTAAAATTTTTTATAAAAAAATAAAAAAATAAAATGATAATTTATAATAATTTTTTAATTTTAATTTTATTGACTAAAACTTCCCAAATGGCTTTTTGGTGCTTTTTATTGATGAGAGAAACGTGACTGACAATAAAAAGTAACGGAGTATAAGGTGCATGAACAGTGCCAGTAATGTTTTTTTTTAAAGAGAAAATTATAAAAGTGATAAAGCAACTAACTTTTGTGTTGGAGATATTTAAGAGGTGTGTCGGATGATTTAAATAAATGTAATTTTTGATTTTTTTTATGAAATATAAGTTGGATTTGGATTGGATTTGAAGTGATGTGTTAGAGAGATGATGTGATTTAAATAAGATGATACGATTTAAATAGGATAATGATTTTTTAATTTTTTGATTTTTTAATTTTTTTTAAAACTTGTCAAATCAGCCTTAAATATAAAAAAAATATTTGTGATATTGTAATTATATTAATTTATAGCAAAAATTAAATTTTATCTTTAAAAAATTTAAATAAAGTGTTTGTTGGGTGGAGGCTGTGATATTTATTTATTAATATTAATTAATTTATTAGTGCGGCTGCTTTGGGACGGTGGGCTACTTTTCTTTCTTTTGGCACGTACGGTAAAGCCTAAAAATATAAAAAAAACGCGAAAGAGAGTTAGCCCTATTTTGGAAAGTTTGCTTTTAGTCATTTTTTTTGGTTTGTAGAAGTTGTAAATATTTTAAATAAATGGAGGTAGTTTGGTCATTTTATTATGATTTGATATCATAAATAAACATTAATCAAAAAAGTCAAAAAGTTATTTTTTATCAACTTTCCAAATCATTTGTTTAAAAAAGTCAAAAACTTGGTTAAAAGTCAAAAAGTTATTTAGTTGGGTCGAGAACATACACGTGTTAGTGCATGCGTGGATTTTTTTTTTTTTTTATTATTATTATTTTTTTTGTAGGAATTTAATATTTTATAAAAAGTCAAAAAGTATACTTATTTAGTCTTCCCAAACTAAGCTTAAATCTGAAACCTTCAAACTCTCGAAGGTAGAAGAACAATTAAAAGCTGTTTATTAAGCAGATTCAAATGAACGGTGGTCATTCTGCCCAGGTGTACGGTTCTGATTAAATCACCACCTTACCTGGACTTTAATTTAAAAAAGAATAATTCTATATATCTTACCTCAACTATCCCGAATTTACTTCCCAAAATAATTGTGGGGTTAGAATTGAATATGTTTGGTGTGGGGTTTATTTGAAATTGAAACTAATCATTTTATATATAATTTTTTTTTTTAATTTATACGTCAATACTCTTAATTATTTACATATACTATTCAATGGGAAACACTAGGTCTCACATACATAACATTAATTTTTAATGGTGATAATAAAATGGTCTAAAACATAGCAATTTTTTGAGTATGAAATGGTCTTTGTTTTCTTCTCTAGTGGTGGGAGGCTATGGGAGTATCTATAACTTATATTAATTAAACAATAATGCCTATATTATTTATATGTGTATTTAATATATACATAAAATATTATATGTTTGTGACCCAGATTGGACCAACTTACCCAAAAAAATATTAAAAAAACTCAGCTTGGACTATATTGGACACTCGCATCACACCCTCCACTAATTTAAGGTCGTTTTTGGTTTAGGTTCATTTGATGATATTTTCACATCCCCACTATTTTGACATGTTATGCTATTCCAATTATTGAATGGGGTAGTACTGTTTCTTCCCAAAGATATAGTAATCAAAGAAATAATTGATATGAAGCAAAGTCGTTTTCCCTTTCCTTTGAATTAAAATTCTAATATGTTTTTGAAATCTGTTCTGTGTTTCTGTTTGCTAGTTGGTAAGCCCCGGTGCGTGGCTATGTGATCTGACCCTAGAGCGATACGAGGTCAGAGAGAAAAAGATCACCAAGAAGGTACCTTTTCTCATCCTTCTCCATTTTAGCGTCATCTTTAATTTTGAAAACAGTTTAAGAAAACAAATTATATTGAAATTTATGTGTATATACTTTTGGGTTGCAGCAGAGACCAAGAGGGCTAAAGGCTATGGGTAACATGGAATCTGACTCGGAATAGAAGAAACTGTTGTGGGACAACAATGGTAGTGTTGTCTGGATAGAGGTGACATATAAGAGAAGACGATGAAGACGACGGTGATGATAGTTTTTAGCTATTTTTGTAACGATGTGATATTATTTTGCATTGAACGTTTGTATTTTGTGTCACCTTTCATCTGGAGAAGAAATGATTCAGACAAAATATATAGTTCAATCCCATACTGAGTACTGTCTCTCTTTCTTCTTTATTGTCTACTCTGATTTTTTTCTGTTTTTTGAGGATGAGATTCTTTCGTGTCCACTGGATTGAAGAGGTGCATTTTGAGTATGTGTATGTCATTCATAACCGAGTCAGATTAATTTGATAAATGTATTTTTAAAAAAGTATAAAATAAGTATAATTTTGATAATAATAAAATCTTTTATTTCAATGATAAAATTCTGAAATTACTGCTATTAATTAAAGATGGAGGGTGGGTGGGGGACTAATCCCACGTAAGTGAAGGTCCCTCAAGGGGGGAATAAACAAACCATAAGCCCACACAATAAATTGAGACTAAGACATGTTATCAATCATATGTGAAACCTTAATCCCTAAGCCAACTCAAATTAATACCTTACAAATTAAGAAAAAAGCTATACTAGCAATCCCAAGTCAACTGCACACTCAAATTAATACTTTACAAATTAAGAAAAGAGAGCAATGTTAGCTACTTCAAGTTAATCACAAGGTGAGTTGTGATTGATCTTAGGTTTTTGAGCTCACAAAAAGATCAATAGTGATTTGAGTAATGTTAGAAATACTAAATAAATGATTAAATGTCTCACATAAATAGAGTCTATACTCGTAAGACATTTAGTCATTTATTTAGTAGAGAATTTGAGACTTATAATATTTTTCATAGTGATTGATTAGTTGAGTTGTTTTAGTCATAAAGTTGGTCCAAACAAGCATTATCATTTGTAGACATGAAAATAAAATAAACTTTGATCCGATTCAATTGCTTCAAATTGGGAGCTGAGAGAGCCCTACTTTTGCAACTCCCAACAGAGTTATGATATCTGTCACTTTTATGGTTGAATTTGATCATACATTTTAGGGGAAATTGTGAATCAATGAAAAGATTTCAAAATATTATAAAATCTTTAAAAATTTATTACTTTAATTATTAAAATTGATAAACCTCATCACTAATTTATCATTTTTTTGAAATCTTTTCATTGATTTGTAACTTCAACTACATTTTATTCTTCCTATAAAGATATAACTTGAATTTCCAAAACTAAAACATTTTAATTTACAATGTTTAGAGAAAGGAAAAGGATATATAAATATATTTTTTAGACCTAATGATATAAAACTAATATGATTGGTTAATAATTAAAGAAGATATAATAGAGAGTATTGTCTTTAATATTCTAATTAATTACCACATCATTGAGTTTGAAAATCAAATTTTAACTTTTGATCTTAAATGGTAACGTTCTTCCAAAAAATGTGTTAATTGGAGATCAAAAGACTATCGCATAGAGTGCGGCCTTTTGAAATTGGCATGTTTGTATTTTGACGGTTGAATTAAAAGCTAACTTTCTTCCTTTTTTTTTTGATTTTTTTAAATCATATTATTTCTTTATTTTTTTTTTATATATTTTTCTAAAAAAAAAGTTAGAAAAGAGATACAAAAACTAACTTTTAATTTACTTCCAAAAACAATTCGGTAGGAGAATTTCATAGTCAAAACGCTATAATCACTTCAAGTGAGATGTAGACTTTGATGCATATGTTCCACTCTGAAATAGACTTATGCATAGGATACTTGCCATCCTAAAAATATGTAAGATTCATGTCCAAATTTTTTTTTTTAATATTGTTAAAAAATTTATGAATTTTATATCAAATGATAATCAAAGCTCACTAAAGCATCTGATTATAATAATAAGATTGTCAATAATATTGTTCTTACTCCGATCATTATTAGATTCCATGTAGAGCAATGTTTTTGGAGTAACTTTTGATTTGGAAGGCATCGTTATCATTGAGAGATGCATTAATGCTCACCTTTATATGAATAACATACTTCATTTTAGGCCTAGTTTGACATCTTCAAAATAAGATAATAAATTAATAGAAAATTTAAAAAATTATCACTATTCACAAAAAATATATATATATAAAAAAAATTATTTTTATACAAATTGTGAGACAACTCACTCTTACGTGAGTTGTCTTTGCTTGACTTTGGTGAGGACTAATTATACAGGCAGAGGCAAGCTTAAGGATGGTGCTGTTCAGCCCGTGGAGCTTATCACAGGTTCTGTTTTGATAATCTGAACCGTCAATGTGTAGAACTTGTCGAGTATTATATGCCTATAAAAAATCACGTTGGTCGGATATCGCTAACTATATGATCAAATCAGTTTTTATATAAAAGAATGGATGATGTTATAATTAACAGTTAAAAAAAACTAATCCGATCAGATAGCTATCGATATCCGATCAATTTGATTTTTTACATACAAGCATATAGTACTCGACGAGTTCTACACATTAAATGATTTCGATTAGCAAAACGGGACCCATGGTGGCCCCTACAGGCCAAACAATAACGTTCAATTCAATGCCCGAAAAAGAGCGAATCATCTCCTACCCTACACTCTGCCCACGCTGCTCTTATGCCTTCCAACCGTACGACCTATTCTATTACAATCTTCTCCTCTATTCAAATTTATAAAACTTTTTAATAATTTTTTTTATAAAAAATTAAAAAATTATCCCAAACAACTATCTTTTTTTTCCTCAATTTTTTAGTCTAAAAAGTCAAAAATACACTTATTTAGGACATCCCAAATAACCCCTTAAGTCTCGTTTGGCAAATGATTATTTTAGCCAAAAAGTCACTAAAAAAATTAAAAAACCAACACCCCATATCAAAAAGTCAAAAATTTTCTTTTCTCCTTACTTTTTGCACATTTTTTTTATAAAAAGTCAAAAAATTATCTCAAATATACTAATTTTTTTACATCATATTTTAACTAAAAAATTAAAAAATTATTAAAAAACCTTATTTCCAAAGGAGGCCTTAATCTCAATACTGTAAAGTTGTTGCAATAATGAAATGATTCACACATGGCAACGATTCATAAAAGGCCAATTTCATGAAGGGTAATGATACATCCCACTAAAAGTCGTGTTCTAAAGCATCACTAATAAGTTGGCAAGTACTTTAACTAAAAAAAAAAAAAAAACACAAGACACAAGTAGTGAGTCCCGTCCACTGCCACATCACTAGTGATGCTTTTAGAGCACCACTTTTAATGGTCACAAGCATTATTGTTTCATGAAATGACCTCGTATATTGCCATGATTGATTCCGTTTAAAGTTAGAAAAGAAAAGAAAGACAGAAAAAAAAAAAAAAGGGTCAATTGTTGCTTCATTTAATAAAACAAGAAATCAAATAGTCATAGCTTTGTCACACTTTTCCCTTAAATGCAGAAGATGATATCAAATTGAATTTTTCCAAAAATGGGAACAAAAATTTCATTTTCACACCGAGTATAAGATGACAGGTTGACAGCTCATTGAAAGATGTGAGAATAACAAAATCACATAATTCATGCAGATTTTTGTCCTTTTGATCGACGCAAGGAAAAAGGACACAATCCTCTGTTTGGTTGCCTAGAAAACTGAGGAAAACGAAAGAAAGAAACTGCGAGTAGGTGTTTATGCTGCAGACCCCAGCGGGGTCGCACCCCGGTGAGGTGCCGAGCCCCTCACTGGCTCAAACTTAAAAAAAATAAAAATAAATAAAATAATTTTTTTTTATTGCGCGCCAGTGGGGTCCAAAGCATTTTTCTTTAACTTATTTACGTTTCTGTCCACTAAAAAATTTCAAATCTAATCGTCTCTCGTTCTCCTATATTTCCTCAGCTACCAAACAGAGCATGAACCAGAACAAACCAAGGACGTTAAGTTCCATATCCTTTTGTCATTAACAACATCAAGAACTATATCATAAATTGTAAAAAGAACACAAACAAAAAGAAAACACCATAACCAAACACTAAACATGCATTATATTGAACGATCTGTGCATCAAAACAGAGTATATTCAACATAAACCAATCAGCAACGATAGAATCTTCGCAGAACCAAGACCTAGCATTACTAGAAAGCAATGAAGTAGATAAATCTGTAGAGATCTAGAATAGAAACCAATCGTCGATACTCTATATGACTATATATATATACTCACTACTACGGTCATCGATAGTCACAAACTCATTACCAACAGCTAAACAAATCAACTCACGATTCTCATCGAAGAGAGAGATCTTCAAATCTTCAGCGCAGATCCGAAGATGAAAGCCGCGAAGGTGGCGATGCAACCGACGGCGAGCGAAGGAGAGACCGCGCCCGCGGCGGCGACAGGGCTCGGCGCCGGAGCTTCGGCTGCGAGAGATCCTTCGATGAGAGAGACGATAGTTACAACCACCGCCATTATCGCAATCGGCGAAACTTTGCTCTGTGATACCGCCATTTCAGAGAGAGAGAGAGAGGGAGAGGGAGAGGGAGAGAAAAGTGTTTCTGAGGGAAGAGGCTTCGAGTGAGAATTTATAACTAAAAAAAATAAATAAATAATTTTAATGACTTAAATCATAATTTTTTAAAAAATATATCATAACTAAATATAATAGAATGTATAACTAAATAATTAATGAATTATAATTAAAAGTAAAAACTACTTAACAGTTAGATAGTGAAAAAAATATATATAAACATACAAGTGAGGTTTACACTGTCATAATTTTTCATTTACACCTCACTCTAAATTCACTTACACCTTTATATTTTTGTAATTTTTTTTCTAAGCCCATTATCAAGTAATTTCTCCTAACAAAAATAATATAACAATAAAAAAAGCATAATTAAAAACACAATTTTTTTTTAAAAAGGTGTACATTAAAAATTTTCCCCAGAGAGAGAGAGAGGGAGATGGAAATTTGGGCAGCTGCCCGGATTTTACAGGCTGGAGATTATTTGGACAGCTGTTTGACTATGGTCCCTACAATAAAACCGTATTGGCGTAAAGTTGGTAATTGGTATAATATTCCGGGAAGGACACGACACGTGTGTGTGAAAATGCCCAATAACACACGTGTAGAACGTATATTGGTAACTGGTTTCTCTTTCGAGTTTCCAGAACCATCGCAATGTTGTATACGTGTTGTCTCGTTATTGGTGAAAGGACGGAGAACTCCAAAATTACAAAAATATCCTTTAGGACAATATACACTAGGAAGGAAAACGGGATGTACGGATGGCAATTTGAACTCGGCCCGACGAGGACCCGATCCCCCGACCCCAATTATTATGATTTTTTCTCGAAAAATACCCCCGTGGAGACGGAGATGGTATTTAAAATTAAATCCCCGACCAGTTTCGGGCCGGAGATGGTGATCAGTGTTCAAGCCCCGGCCCCGGCCCCATCCCCGAATTATCCCCGAAGTGAAAATACTCTTTTACCGCTCATATATATATATATAAACCACATCTATTTTCCCATTTCACTTCCTCTGTGTCTCTCTCTCTCTCACCATGGCCCTCATCTCTCTCTCCCTCACTCACTGACTCAAATCTCAGTCTCATCTCTCTCCCTCCCTCTCCTCTCCCTCTTCCTCCGCCCGTGAAGCGTTCCATCCGTTAGATCCCTCCGTCCGTAAAGCCATCTGTCCGTTACCGTCAGATCTTGAAGCCCTCCGTCAGATTGTGAACCCTCCGTCTGAACAGATCTGAAGAAGAAGAAGCCCTCCGTCCGGGAAGCCCTTCGTCAGATCGTGATTTGCGAAGCCCTTCCTCCGTCCGTGAGCCCTCCCTTAGATCTGAATTTTTTTTTGATGATTGTTGTGTATATATATATATATATATATATATCTATGATTATTTTTTTTTGATGATTGTTATATATATATATATATATATCTATGACAGATTTTTTTTTTTTTTTTGATCTTCTTAATGTTGCTTTTTGAGCTCACTGAGATGTTGATGTTGTTGTTTTGGCCGGGGATTTTCGGGGTCGGGGAAACCCGATCCCCGTAGGGGGCGGGGGTGGTTTTGGTGGTGGGTTTCCCGTCGGGGATGGGGACGGGGACGGGTGGGAGTTCTGCCATCGGGGATCGGGGACGGGGAGGGTGATCCCCGGCCCCGCCCGGCCCCGTTGCCATTCCTACTTTTCTGACGCATGTTAAGAAAGTAATAAATGACTCTAACTGCATAATATGAAAAATATTAAACAAAACTATAAACGAATTTAATATTTTAAAAAAACTCAGTATGTTTGGTTTTATAATTCAAGATTCACTTTTTGGGAAATTAATTTTTTTTATTTTTTGTGTTTTTTCATTTTTATTGAATTTTTAAAATATTTTAAGCAGCTTTTTTAATTTTTAGATACACTTAACATAAATACAGTTAAAAGTATAATATTTGTGAAAAAAATCTGTACAAAATTCACTAAATACTAAAAATAAAAAAAATGAAAATTCAGAACATTTTTTTTATTCTTGTGTATTTATTGATTTTTTAAAATATTTTTTTACAAATATTTTACCTTTTAGATACATCTAAGTAAGGTGCATCTAAAAAGTAAAAAAAAAATACTTAAAATTTTAAAAATATTCACTAAAAATAAAAAAACATATATACAAAATATAAAAAATTAATTTGAAAAAAATTGTATTCAAAAATTAAAACCAAACACATGATCTCATATCTTTTTTTATGTGGATGAAAGTAACCCCGTCTTGGCAAGACCAAATTGACATTGGATTCTTTAACTTAAGTGTAATGTTAGATAATAATAATACAATGCTGCTACGTAACTCGAAAGGCAGCTAGCTTGATTGGCTTGAATCCAAAATGTTGTCGTTTTGGATTTTTTTTTTTTTTTTTTCTTTTTATTTTTAAATTTTAACTAATTTTTTTTATGCACAACTTAGCCGAACAATGGGGCAAATTTTTTTGTGGCTCTTTGAGATACTTGAATAAGACCCAGTATGTTTGCAGACGGTACGTTCAGAATATTCCCCGATTTATTAGAAGACTAAGAGGGGAGTAAGGAAATTACAGCTATACGATGAACAATTAAGGGACGTTAAGTTTGATAATAAAGGCGTGGCGAGATTACTTAATGGTATTGAGTTGGGTAATAAGAGATCTGACCGTCAATCAGACAAGATCGTGGTTAAGGGTATCAAATTCATTGGTAATGTTCAATTGGGACAGGATGCTAAGGACGAAGCTGTGGTCCACTACGTGTTGTTTTTTGTCATCAGTGATAATAGTTCGTCAGATTCCGTCCCTACTCCTGACAAGATATTTATTGGAGTTGGCGAGGGTAATCCTGAGACCTGGATTGTTGATCCTGACCAGTCCGACCGTTTTCGGATGCTAAAGAAAATGAGATTCAAACTCGTTAGTGGCAAGGACAAAGAGTACGTTCGCCACGGGATAGAAGTTGTAGACCGGTTCTTCCTAGTTGATGTTTGGACGGACTACAAAGATACGCTGTTGGGAAATGTTAGAAGAATTCAAAAGGGTGCCATATATTTAGTGGTTGCTACTGTTAGTGGAAAGGAATGCAAAATTACTTTAAGGAGTCAAATGTACTTTAAAACTGTTTAAAATTGTAATTTGATGTATTTTTATTTTTAATGTTCAGGTTAATGGAGGTGGACGATATAAAAACTGGGGTTGTTGAAGGTGTTTCGGCAAGTGATTTCAGTTGTATTGAACTTGCGTTGCCTAATTTATTTTCTCAATTGAGGTTAAGATACAAACAAAAAAGTATTAAGATTGATAAAATATTGATAAAATATTCTCCCCTTTGCGCACTCAATGCAAGTGGGTTGGTCAGAGTAAATGTTTATGATCGGAGGTTAGACGGTAATGACAGTTTGCAGGCATGGTTTATTTTCCCAGTAGATTGTCAATGCGAGTTAGTCCATTATGGGAATGGTTATTGTTCAATTAACGACAAACAGGTGCCATGGATGGTGAAGTATCGACTTGAAAATTCCAATATTAAAAGGGGGTTACGTATTGTAAAATGAAGGGGTATCTGAAGTATTCTACGAGTGACATGTCAGAAGATTCGCAAATGAGGGCCCCTTCTATTGTTGTGTTATCTAAAAAATATACTAATGATAATGTTGATGTCTGGCATTGTCCTCCAACGAAGGCCATTCCGATTCTGACACGGACTAAATCTATTGGTTTACCGGAGAGGCGAAGAGATTTGTTGTTAGGAGGTTTTGGGGAAAGTGGTTCAGTTATTCATGAACGCAGAGGTCGTCTGAGTTTGTCAGAGATTGATGTACGCAGAGGTAGTGATGACACTAGTGATGTTGTTCCTGGTCCGTCGATTTCAGAGGTTGGTGTTAGCAAAGAAGAAGTTGATCGTAGAGGATCAGTTGTTATGGATACAGCAGAATTTTTTAATGTTTTACGAAATGTAATCATCAGTGTAAAAAATAGTGATGTGACTCAAGATGTAATAGTTGATGATAAGGGAAATGTAGTAAGTAAATAAAATATTGAGTGGTTTCATAAATAAAATTAATAAAATTTTTCATTAATCATGACACTGGTTACATTAACATCAAACCATTCTCTCATTTTTTGGGGCATTGCATCTAACCAACTACTGTCCCCATTTGTTAATAAAATACAAGGAATTTCTCCTCTAATAGTGAGATCTGGTTGGAACTTAACAAATACATGGAAATCTCTTTGGCAGCCTACTAAATTCTTTATTAATTCGGTAGGGACTATCGAGTATTTGATGTCGTCAATCACGTTGTAGACGGCGTCTTGGTCGTAGTCCTTGAAGCTTATTCTGCCGGAGAAGTAATTGTGTCGCCCGAGGCTTCTGGCCCAGGCGGTTTTGCCTGTTCTTGAGGGTCCTTCGAGGTAGAGGGAGATTGGGCGGAATGGCCTCTGCTCTGGTTCCTGTTATCAGAGGAGGAGGAGAGTTCTTCGTCAGTATATAAATTGTTTATATTATTTTTGTGTATCCCTAATCTAAGGAAATCGTCTTCCCTTCAAACGGAGAGAGAACAATTTTGACATAACTCGTACTGAACGCAATTTCGACTTACAAACAAAATATTATTTTCTGTCCATTTTTTTACTTCTTCATTTAAGAAAGAAAATGAATTAAAAGGGCTAGTATATAGGGGTCTCTCTCTTTTGTAATGATTCCTGGAAAATGTTTTTAATTGGGGGTATTTTGTAACGTAATCGGTGGGACATCTTTCTTTACAGAGAGCAAAGAATTGTTCCTCCGTTTCTGCTTCGCCAAGTATTCCCCTCCAGAGTTCGTCTCTGTTTTTCGAAGGACTTCTCCCCTTAGATGAAAATTCTCCCCATTCGACGAACTCGCCCACTTTCTGTATATACTGTCGACTTGTTGTTGGCGAGTGGAGTTTCTCTATATTTGGATGGAAGATCCTCCCATTGGTTCCAGTGAGATCGAAAAATCTCGGGTTGGAGGTTTGAATCTTCTTCGTGCATTGAACCATGGCATGAAGGTAAGGGTTTCCATCTTCATGAAGCTCCCTTGCGACAAGTATGTAATATGGCTAACAGGCTCCCACGATCTTGTCTGATTGACGGTCAGATCTCTTATTACCCAACTCAATATCATTAAGTAATCTCGCCACGCCTTTATTATCAAACTTAACGTCCCTTAATTGTTCATCGTATAGCTGTAATTTCCTTACTCCCCTCTTAGTCTTCTTAATAAATTGGGAAATATTCTGAACGTACCGTCTGCGAACATACTGGGTCTTAAAAGGTGCACGACTACAGTAACTACGCCTATATCCACTGGCCGCCGGTGTCATTGACCTCCAATACACAAAGGGAGTCCGGTAATAGCTGCTTCCTATTCCTTCCATTTTTTATAAATAACTCCAAATCCTTTATACGAACACTTCTCCAAGATTTGTTACATCTGCTAACCCTTCTGTACGCATAAATTTAGTAAAAATTTTAATAAATTATTTTTAAAATGTTACCAAGACTTAAGAACATACTATTTCAATAATTTTTTAACTTTTTATAAAAAATAATATAAAAAAAAATAATATAATAACTTATAATAACTTTTTAATTTTTTAATTAAAATATGTAATTGCACAACGAAACTATCAAATTTCACAACATAACCTGGTATTGACCAAAAAAGGGCAACCGTGGCAGACAATCAAAACTCAAGCGCTCTCTCTCAATACTCGCTTCCAACTGCACTCCAATTCCCTCAAGAGAAAATGTGGCCTATTACAACTTTTGTAACTACAAGAAGAGGCTCTGACCTCCCAACAAGAATTTGAATCTCTGGCCTCCAATACAAGAATACGATTTATGACACTCAATTCAATTCCTAGTATTTGTACATCCAAAAAAAATCGACTGTGGATGATGCTGCAAGTGCCGAGAATTATACAACAGAAACAACCTAGATCACAATGACAGCAACTCACAACATGCTAGGCACCAAGAATGAATCTTAAGTACCAAAGTCATTCAGTGGAGAGTTCATTGAATGTAAACCAAGGAGGACCCCTCGGAGCGTTTCCTACCATCACTTGAAAAATTCCGTGTCCTCATTGAAATATCAATAACCAAAATACTTGGGTGCTACTAGCAATAAAGGTTCCAAGGCGCTTGGAGCAAATTTTCTTGCAAAAAGAAAGCACACTGAAGATGGCTGGTTGTTATAGAGGCAGCTGTGACCTTCAAAAACTTTCTTCAAGAACTCCTCAGTGATATCTGCTCTTCCAAAGGTAGCCGGGTGGGCTCCACCTCTCGACCAGTCCACCCAAGTTATGCTTCTGTTTGCCAAGAGATTTGACGCTTGAATCGTCAACATGGTTGGAAAGTAATGCTCGTCCACGTAGCACGCGGGTTTGCAGAACTTGTCAAACTTTGGGTAAAACGTCGTGTCTTCGACAATGTAAACTGCAAGCTTTCGGTTAATTTCAAACCATTGTGACCCTTTACGCCACAGCATAACGTTGACCTCGGGTGCCATGTTCTGGTTATAACGCCCCCTCCCATATGGCCCGGGGTCATCGAATGCGCCAATGAAGCTATATTTGGATTTCTTGATGTAATGGTAGATGACACTGAAGTTGTAGAGAGGAATGCACGATTCGGAGAGAAGCACAAACCACTCATTGGAGATATCAAGCAATGCATTAGCAAGAAGTCTTCTCTCGGCATCGCACATACTCATCTTTCCCCATTCTGATAGCTGCAAACCGAAGAACTATTTCAAATTGACAAAACTAAAGGAACCAAAATCAAAATAGGTATACAAAATGAATCAAAGAAGTATAAAATTGGTTGAGGCAACTCAAAACTTTAAAGAGAACAGTTATTGCATAACATTTGAAAACATAGTAACAGTACCCGAATGTCTACTTGTACTTGATGTCATTATCAATGCCACCTTATTTTCAAGGGGCTAGGCTTAGCTTAGAAGTACAAGTCAATAAATCTCAAAGAAGCCACTTAACCACAATTCTTCTTTTCATCCAATTTTGTGGTTTGTGTTCAGCTAAAGTAGGCACAAAATGGTATACATTTACAGAAATGCTATTTAACAAGGACATTAATCTGTCTGTTGCCAACTTGCCACACATGCACAAGGTGTACAATAAAAAAACCTTAAAAGAAATTGTGATCATGTGTAATGAATCAAAGAAATACATGCCAGACACACCTATAAATGCTGCTTATTAATATTTGAAAACATTTACAGGATTATTGGAACATCTTATAAATAAAGGGTTGGATTGATTTGTGTGATTATTATAAGATTTGGCATCACTGAAATGATCAAGGATTGATTTTCCTACCTCTTCTCTTCTTTATTGCTACATCCGTTCTCCTCTCTCTTTTTCTCCTTATCTTCTTCATAATATGTATACAAGGTTTGTAAAGTTGACATGAATAGTACGAGTTACATGAATTTGGTCTCTAAATTTGTTGTTGCTAAGATAAAGTTGCAGCTTGAGCCACAACTATATAGAGTTGCTTCAGTAGATAAGTCATTCGGACCTAACACATATTTACTTGATTTGCCTTCAGATATGCCTATTAGTACTGTTTTTCACTGTTAAGGAATTGTTTTCCTTGAGCTTCCTACTTTGTGGGCAGCTTTACCTATAGGCAAAGTTCCTTATACTTCAGTTCCAGGATCTATTGCTTAGTGTCCACCAGTTTTACCCCAACATGAGGATTAAATTGGGAGTCTTCTTGCGATTTGTGATGTAGCCTCTTTGCATGATGGCTTTTGGCAATCTCTTGTGCATTGGAAGAATCATCAAGACCCTATTGCTGCTTTAATTATTGAGGATAAATTTGCCACTTTGATCCTGATTTATTTGGTAGCATCACTGCCTTTACTCCACGCAGAGTAATTCAAAGCAGGGGAGAATGATAGAGATCTTGAAGGAAGCAATAATTGAGAGCTTAAAAGAAGACAAATTTTAATTTGTTTATGATTTTATTTATTACAGTTTTCTTAGGATTAGATCTTCTTAATTTCATTTACATTAGAATTATTGGAACAATCTATAAAAATAGAGTTGGATTGTATTGTGAGATTATTACAGATTTGGAATAATTGAATTTATCAAGGATTCATTTTCCTACTTCTCACTCTTTGGCAGGTTCACTCACCCTCCCTCCTTTCTTCTCATCTGCTTCTTCCCTTCTTTTCTTTTGTCTCTGTAATTCCCCTTATCTACCTCTTTTCCCTTTCTGTTTCCTGTTTCCTCTCCTTCCCTGCAACTCTTTCTTTTCCCTACTGGTTCTACACCATCTGGAGTATCAAAGCTCAATGTGTTGTTCCTCTGGGCAAATGTGACTCATACATGAATTCAATGAGTTTTTATATTCCATATAAATCTAAGCCAGTACCAAACTAAAAGATAAACTAGAACTCTATCTTCATATCTATAAAGTGGAATATTTCTTCAAGGTAGCACATATTTCAGAATCTGGACATGGAAATTAGTATAGTTATTATCATGCTGAAATTACTTACCTTAGAATGGATTCAGGAACCATCAACACTAACCACTTTCCTCAAAATGTTTTTTTTTTTCCCCTTCTTATTTAAAAAAAAAAAAAAAGAGTATTTTTTTAGAGTTATCATCAAGAACCACATGCTCCACATCAGTAATTGCTAAGAATCTGTCTTATTTCAGGTCAGCAGAAAATTCCATAGCTGTTGGTATCCTTCTATGGTTCTACTTATTGTACCCTGACCCCGGTAATGATATCTGGACTTAATTTCAAAAATGAATATAATCATTATACCTTAATGCAGCAAAACTACAGATGCTATGCTCCCTCTAAGCATCAACCAGAATGGACATAAAATTCCTCTCACAGAAGCCATATTTCACAATTTAACAGCTAGTGATGTAATATGCTCAATACAAGAGCATTATTATCAATAACACCAAGGTAAAGCTCTAGACAACTTCAGTGAACTTCTCTGTGTGGGCAAGTGGCCAGAGAAAACACTGCCCAAGAAGGCTGCCTCTCATCATTGCCACAATGAGACTAACATTTGTCAGATGAAACTACTTACTAGTACTTCCTCCTCCATCATTTCCTTCTGAACACCCAAGACTCCCTTTGCTTAAAGAATCAACCCTACTTTACCACCATATTTCCATCTAGCTTCAAAGAAGACTCAGCCCAAATCCAATTGATTTGATACATTCATCAAACTATTACCAATTCAGAGAAGTCAAATTGGTGAAGAGAGCCTAATGTTCCTTCTCAAAACACATAATAACAAAGCTAAAATCAAATTCTCACATCTCCCTTACCCAACACCAACACTCCAACACAGAGAAAAATGTCTGCATGAGAGAGAGAGAGAGAGAGATAACCAACACTCGTTGTCAACCTAGCACATGGCATCTCCAAACTCTTAAAATGATTGTCTCTTATGAGCCAATCGTTCAACACTTCTCCACGCAAAGTGAAAATGCACAACTGTTCCACATGCACACAGGCGTGTCTACACACACAACTTCCTACAGATATTTTCTTGAAATTTTCTGGTATTATTTTGCTTGATGAACTGTATGTCCCATATGAACTCCCTGCATTAAATGCAAAAGTATTCAAATGTTCCTCTAGAAGATGCCTTTTGTGATTAGATCTCCCTTCTGTTCTGACTAAAACAGAGTTCTGAATGAACTACATTGGAGACGGATCATGTGCAACACCTAAACTATTCTCTAATTAGAAGAGATGGTTCCAGTTAGCAAAAGAAGAAAAAGAGAAAAAGAAGCGAACAAGTAATTTTTGCTTTGTGTCATTGCTGGTAGAAAAAGAAGGTAGTCAACTAAAGCACACTGCATCTAAGTGAATAATAAAATTAATTATAATGCATTCTTAAATAATGTTACCATAGGGGTGTCAAAAACGTTATCTTAAACTGAATTAGAATTGTACGTAAATCAGACCTCAACCATCCAACAGTCGCACTGTTACTCAAAGACAAGTGCTGCAAACAAGGATGGTTTTCATCATGTGATCTTCACCATTGTACATGTTTAGGAAGAGTTAGAAAATTATACATACGTATCAATCTAGCATGGTACGAGAACATGATAACTACATGATGTAGTATAATAAATAGATTAGGTGTATGTTAAATAGCTTGTTTGTTCTAGTCTATAAATAGGTTATGTAATATACCCATTGTACTCAGTTTTTGGAATAAAGAATATACATTGAAATTGAACTAGAGCTTGGTTTCTCTCTCTAACCCTTAGGGGTTTTTACCCCTAATTGGGGCATTTGTCTTCCCTCTCTCTATTTGATTCTTGATTTGCATTTGGATTGTATCATTTGGTATCAAAGCTTAGGATCTGCATCGAAATGTTCCTAATTGAAGCTGAATTCATCAACCAAAGAGAAGGGACAACCCTTGCATGCAAGCCCTAGTCGACTATGTTGTTACGATTTGTGGCCTTCTCGAAGTCGTGATCTGAGAACACTAGATTCGGAAGTTATTGCGATCAATGTTGTGAATCATCCTTTGTGACTCGATTTTGACTTGATATCACTTTCGAATTGAGATCGCGAAGTCTCACTCCATAACCGAGCTCAAGACCCAATCAAATCTCAAGATTCCACATCTCGAACTCATGTTACTTCAAGATTGCTGAAGTGAAGACTTTGATTCGTGAAGATCGTGATTCGAAATCAGGCCTGGATCAAAGTTGTTAAAATCGGGATCCTAAGGAGGATCGGTGAGAGGGTTTGGTGGGTCAGATCGTAGGATCGGATCGAGAATCGTAAGATCCTACTTTCTATTAAAAAATAAAATAAAAATAAAAATTAAAATGATACATATTAAAAATAAGGTGAAAAATCATAAAATCTACGATCCTACCTACGATCCTACTTGCGATCCTGCCTACGATCCTATACGATCCCATACGATCCCATGCGATCCTACACGATCCTACTTGTGATCCTGTTCTAACATCGATCCTACAACGATCTGGATCGTTTTGGCAAAGTAGGATCGTACGATCCTATGATCCGGATCGCAATTTTAACAACCATGGCCTGGATGGGTCACTTCGATTCGAGAAGATCCTAATTCAAAATCCTCAGAAGTTCTTGAGATTCAACATTCGAATCAAAAGTTCTTGAGATTCAACATTCGAATCTTCTTGGGTCCTTGCTCTTGGATCAAGTTTCCATCTCGATTTTTGAGGAGTTCTTTGCTATTGAGTTCATTAGTCGACTTCGTAGATTCGAATCCCAACTTCGATCTATTCTTGTGATCTGATTTAGCGAATTGGAATCAGACTCCCGACTTCGATCTGTTCTTGCGATCTAATTTAGCAAATCGGAATCAACCTTGGGTGGTTATTGTGAATCGAAATCAAATACGGGTGGTCTTGCGGTTTCAATTCGTCCTTGATTCGAACATTGCGATCTCTAAATTTCGAAGCTAGCTATCTCGATCTAACTCTAATCAAAACCAGATTGTTGGGCTTCTCAGAATTGATTGCCACTTCTCCACTTGAACCAGATTCTTCAGAATCCATTGATTTGATTCGCATACCCGTCACGATCTGAATGAACAACGAAGAAATTTGAACTGTTGAATTCCACATTCGACACCCAGGGGTAGATCCGAAATTGATCCAGAAAGGCTGGGGTGAGATATGAAATTGGCCCGAAAGTCTTTGGTGAAATTTCTCACTGTTTCACACGAACACCGGGAATGACTTGGGTTCTTGATTGCTGGTTGAATTCGAAGTCAATTTGTGTGTTGAATTAATTTGGGTTCTTGTTCTTCGACTTGGCGGGGCTTATGCTGCGAATCTAGATGAAGGTAGATGAAGGTACTGTGATGAATCTCTTAATCGGAAGGGGTATGATGCTAATCCAAATCAAACTCATAATCAAAGAGATGAGTTTAAGCAAATGAGTGGACGACTTGTCGCATCACAAGCCGTCATTGAAATTTTTGAAAGCTTCAAAGATATTATTTGAAGTTTGTCGTTAGGACTCTTCCATACCTCTTTACAAAGTTGTTTTGAGTTGAGTAGGTTGTTTCTTGTGTGCTCAGTTCACATTTGGTGACAAAGGAGGAAAGACAGAACGCGTGCAATGCCGAATTCCAGCTCGTGATCAATTGTTCTCATATGTTTTGCCTATTGGATGCATTGTCCATCCTCTTATTGTGTCACTGTTTCTCAAGTTTGCTTTGGAAGATGTCATTTGCAAGCCCATTGGTCTCATTAAGACAGAATGAGTACTCTTCTGCACAAGTATGCAGGTTAGAGGTGAACAGATTTGGAAGTGGGGTCTATCCAAGTGTTAGCGAGAGAGCATGGACACACCTATGGTTGTTGAGCCAAGGATGCAAGGATGAAGTTCGATATAATCGCAAACAGCTAAGCTGTGAGAATGGGGCGAGGGAACGCAAAACCTATCCCTCATCTCCAGGTACATGAATAGTGTTACATTGAGTTTACTTAATTGCTACTTAAACTTGAGGACAAGTTTCTTAAAGAGGGAGAGTATGATGTAGTATAATAAATAGATTAGGTGTATGTTAAATAGCTTGTTTGTTGTAGTCTATAAATAGGTTATGTAATAACCATTGTACTTAGTTTTTGGAATAAAGAATATATATTGAGATTGAACTAGAGCTTGGTTTCTCTCTCTAACCCTTAGGGATTTTTACCCCTAATTGGGACATTTGTCTTCCCTCTCTCTATTTGATTCTTGATTTGCATTTGGATTGTATCACTACAATACTATAATCAAACCTCAAACCCCTAATGGTAGCACCGAGGACAACCTAAGAGAGAGTTGTTTGAGATAGTAGTTCATGTCTACTGAAATCAAATTTAAAATCACAATCATCAGTGCAACCAATGCAGGCCAGACGGGGAACAATCCATTTAAAGCACACAAAATAAATAAATAAAAAATGCCATATGCCTAAAAAAAGTTCTTCCAAAATGTTAGAAAGAGCCAATTATATAGAGGCATCACTTCCTAATCGAGTTACCCCTAAATAAGAAGATCAGCAATTATCATATTTCTGAGCGAACAGTTCAACATACTGGGGAGAAGAAGAAATGGCTCACATATCACCTTATTATACAAATAAAAATGAACTTTTGTACAACGATACGCTTATGCATAACAAAAAAGTGAGACAGCATTAAGAAACATACAAACATCAAAATTACAACATTAACTGCACATGCTTTTAATCCACAACTTCTTTTTTCTTTGAAATTTAACTGCATACCTGGCTTGGTATTTGTCTCCTGTAGAAAACCGAGGAGGAAGGGAAATCAACTTGGAACGACGGCAGTGAATGAATATAGATCGAATATAGCCCCTCGTGCCCCTTTAAAAACCTTTCCCAAAGAGGTGCCAATGGCAATGGCCCCTTAGTCAAGAACATGAATGCAATCTTTGGAACTCTCTCGAATGGATACTTCTTTACTCGCGAGGTAAAAGATGCCCTCCACAAGAGCTCTTTGTCTGTCATTTTGTGAAGCAAATTCGATGGAGGCTTGATCCATTGTTCTAAACTAGTAGGCTCCTCGACGACACATGGTTGGAAACTTGGCAGTGCTGTAGCCACTGCCACAGCATTATTAACTCCGAAATACCGAATCATGTAGATACTAATTACTGAAAAGCAAATACACAATAACAGGAATTGCGCAAGAAACTGAAGCAGCCTTTGTGGGAAAACCCTAGATTGAGTTGTTCTAGCTGTAACAGTAGGGTCCTTGCCTTCCTCCATTGGCCCTACCCTAGATTGCATCTTTCACAACAAAACCAAATCAAAAGCTATCTTCTGGGTGTTTTGTTTTCTGCTATTCCAATTCCAATAAAACCCTTTCCACACACACAACAATTTCGAATTCCAAAACTTCTCAAAATTTGCAACTTTACTCCCAAATACAGCAAACCCAGATTCCCAAATAGCATCTTAGAGCATCCTAAAGAGTGAAGTGGGTTTGATTTTTTCTAGGGTTAAACTTACGTTGAGTAAGGCCTTCTTAGCATCAGAAAAACTTTGGGATCTAATTGTACTCTATTTTTCAAAGAAGAGAAACAAAAAGCAACCTTAGCACACTGTGCTGAATACAAGCATACAGATCATGGGCATGAGATTCAAAGATCAGATTTTTTTAAAGCAAAGAGATAAGCGTACCATGAGTTGATGAGAAGACAAACTGAGCGAATAGTTTAGCTTTTTTTTGGTAGGGAAGACTGGCCGTGGTCAAAAGTGAGAAAGTTTGAGAGAGTGAGAAAACAGAGATAGTGGATCAGATAAACAACCCACGAGTGCGGGAGAAGAATGGAAAGAGAGACGATATCTATGGGAATCATTTTGCTGGGTCTGTGAAAAATGTGTGATTGATATCAGGAAGGGCATTAGAAGATTAAGATTATATTTTTTTAATTATTAATTAATTATATTACTTATATATTATTGAGGTTAGAAAATAAATTGATTTTTTATTTTTTATAAAAAATTGCTAACTTTTATCAATTACAAATATATAATTTCATCACAAATTAATATAATGTAATATTTAAAATTTCAGAATTAATATTATAAAAATTTATGATTTGGTAACACACGACACCAATCTAGTACACCACAGCACAAAAGGAAAATGTAATAGGTTTTCTACTAAATAAATGATCAAATATCTCACATGAGTATGGGGCACACTCATGTGAGACATTTGGTCATTCATTTGGTAGAAAATTTTGTATTCCTAACATTCCTCCAGCACAAAATCCACTATTCTACACGAACAAGGGTGTAAATTTAGCCGGTCCGGCCTAGTCCACCCGGGCCAATGCTTGGGTCTTGTGAGCTCCCGTCAAAATTCAAGTCGGGTCGGCTCACGAATCAGAAAATTAGGTACAAGTTTAGGCCCGTATTCGGGTCTTGGGTGGGCCGGACAGGTAGGCATAGGCCTGGGCTCAGGCTTGGGTTGGGCTTGAACATTTTTTTTTTTTTCCACCAAAATTTTATTATCTTTCAATAAAAATGACACTAGGCCTCGGGCAAGCCGGGCCTTAGGCTGGCCTAGGTGGGCCGGGTCCACGGGCAAGCTGGGCTTCAAAATGACGACCCAAGATCTTGGGTTGGGCTCGGTCCTAGGCTTAATCGGGTCGAACCCACCCTAGGCCACGGTTGGGTTTCGGGTCGCCCACAGACTGCGAGCTATTTTTACACTCCCACGCACGAACATGTACGGGTTACCCTTGTCGAACAATTCTCTCTCAGAAAATAATCCAGTAAGTTGTACCTACTATGTTGTCATGTGTCCTACTTAGGAGTTTTTTGGAATTTATTTATTTAATATATTTATTTATTTTTTATAAAAAAAACATATTAAAAAAATAGAAAGATGATATGACCCACTTATTTAGTACATCCTCAAAAAACCCCTTAATAATAAAAATATATATGATCATTTTTCAAAAAACCCCTTAATAATAAAAATATATATGATCATTTTATTGGTTATTTTATACAGAAACTGCTTAAACTATTGAGTAAATTGAGCAAAAAAATAAAAAAATTACAAACCGATCCGATTTAGATCAAATCACATGATTTGGTTTACTTTTTTAATACACAGTTTGATCCTAATTTTGAAAATAGACAAATCGTATTTTGTGATTCGGTCCGTGATTATATAAATGTAACTCCAATTCAAAATCGAACCAGACCGTTTAATTATATATATAATTTGTCATTTATCGTAAATACTTGAGTGCCTTATTAATATATCATATATATTCATAAGTTGTTAACCATCTACGCTTGCAAGTATGCTCTTTTACAATTGTAGTTTTATCAAAATAATCATTTATATAATTATTATTTGTAAAATGATGGCATTTTATTTCATGTTTGAGTATGTTGTGATCATATTATCAATGATGACAAAATTTATAAAAATCATGATTTTAAACCGAATCGAACTAAACCATGTTTTCATGGTTTTGTTTGGACCCAAGATTTATTTCAAAACGAAACCAAACCAAACCGAACATTACTTACCCTTACTATTGAGAAGTATCATTTTGACCTCTTAAACTATAAAAGTGTATAAATAGACTTTTTAAATTATTGAAAAGTATCATTTTGCTCTTTAAATTATAAAAGCATACAAATGGATCCCCTAAACTATTTGTATATTTCTCAGTTTGATACATTTTGTGGAGGGGGGTCCAATTTATACACTTTTATATTTTAAGGGATCCATTTGTTCACTTTTGTAGTTTAAGGGACGAAGTGATACTGTCACAACCCCAACCCGCCCCTATAGGTTCAGCGTCGTAATCGACCAATAATTCTTAGATTACAGAAGGCCTCTTAACAGAATAACATATAATTAGAGGCTATGAAAGCAAATATACAAAATATACGTGGTTCATTGAGCTATGTTGACATATATGGGACAGAAATTTGAAACCGTATATAAATATACTTATATGACGTCACATTACATAAGGCTTATGACACCAAGCAAATACAACCCCAAAGGTACTTATCCTATTATACAGATAGACAAAAACAAATAAAAACATCTTTTCCAAGATTCATAACTTGACATAACAAAAAAGAAACCTCCTTGGAAGGCACGGTGGCTGGCTGACTCAAAACTCTCTAGGCAGCAGCTTAGGCCTGGTCACGCGCTTGCTCACCTACATACATAATATAAATAGTGATCGAAAGCCTAATGAATAATAACAGAGTAAAGGGTTTAAATGAATGATATCCCCTACCAGATTTGGAAAACCGATTCATATTTATATTCTTGTTCAAAGTATAATAGAAATCAGATCAAATATGGATTCATTTTCACATTCTTCATGCTTGAGTAAACGTGGTACATTCAATAGTGCTAACAAATCATATACAGGGTATTATAGGTCATACTTATCAGTTCCATAAAGGAACCTCAGCTACTGGGAATGGATAACTTGTCAGTTTCATAAAGGAACCTCCAGTAATGGGAATGGATAACTTGTCAATTCCATGAAGGAACCTCTAGTACTGGGAACGAATAACTTGTCAGTTCTATAAAGGAACCTCCAGTATCGGGAACAGATAATATACTTGAACCATGGAATTGTTGCCACGGGTACTTGTTAGAGACTAGACAATCATTTATTATACAGAACATAACATTTCATAAAACAGGTCTTATTCTATATACAGAAAATAAATAAAGTTGAACATAGCTTTACTAAGCTATTACTCACAATTGGCTCCAAAGCAAACATACAAAGTAGGCACATCAGGTGTCTTGTAGTGCGTGACCTACATAGTTGCAGAACGAACACGTACTGAATTACACACCCGAAATTCATTACAGTCATTGCGTTTCGTTCTTAGTGTGTTTCTAAGTCTTATCTTCATTATTATGTCTTAGTTTCGGCTTAGGAATGCCTAGGATGCAATGAGGATACTAAAATGCACTTGGAAACACTTAACAAAAATTGTTGAGAACAAGGGTTCCGCTCAAGCGTAACTTCCTTTGCTCGAGTGGACATGCAAAATGTGAGTAGTCGCTCGCAACTTCTATCGCTCGAGCGGTCTGCAAAAGTATTGGTTGTGTGAATTCTCCGCTGGACGGCTGCTCAACGGTCATTCGAGCGTGAGATTGAGGTCCTTGCTCAAGCATAACTCTTGTTGCTCGAACGGTCTGCAAAACTATGAAACTTCTAGGAGCTTGCATTTCACGCTCGAGCGGACTTCTGGTTGCTCGAATAGAAGTGCAAAATCATAGAGTGGACGCTCGAGTGCAGGTTTCGCCCCTCAAGCGGAGAAGCAGAATCTGGAATTTCCAGATTGCATTCCCAAGCTCAAAACTCGACCAAAACACATCAAAACTCATATCCTGGGCCCTATACTTGAGAAAACACATTTAAACTTGGAAAACATTGAGGATTCAAGATTATTTCATGAAATCAAGGACCAAAATTATGCCAATTGTTCAAGATCCACCTAAAGACTTTAAGAACATGACATGAATACTACATGCATGAAATGGCTTGAGCCCCAAGTGCCTAAAACATAACCAGATGAGGTGTTTAGCTCAAAGACATGTTGAATTCTTAAACCATAACCAAAATATGAACATGTATGGGACAAATTCTTAGACAACATGCTCTATTTTCCATGTAATGCACATGCATACATGAATCTTCTTCTTTTCTACTGTAATCAACTTAATTCTTACTTCAATTCTCTTATTTCTTTTGAATTCTTGTGGTAAGGACTCCAATTACACAACTAAAGGCTTGATTTCTTACCTTAGGGGCCCAATGTTAGCTTAGATGTGTAGATGTTTGAGCCACTAGTCAATTCCCTCAATTCCCTTCCAAGTGTCTCCAATTCTCAAGCTTAGAGTCAACTCTTCTTACTTTCTCTCTTACTCTCACATTTTTGTCATCAAGGATGAAGATATGAGAGTGTAAAATTGCTACGAGTTCACTTGGGCCTTATATAGGCTTACTTAATAGTGTAATTAAATTGTTGATCAAACTAATCAATTGGACGTTAAATTATTCTAATTTAAGCGTTCCGAATTGAATTTCAATCAAACCTACCATAAAATTCTAAAAATTTCAAATGACACATATATCAAGTCAATTTTATGATCAGGGGCTGATAAGGCCTTTAATTCACAAAACTAAACAGAAACACAACAAATACTCCTACTGCAGACAGATATAAACTCAAAAAATGCAATGCACATGTAATTAACTCAGGTTTTCATCTTAATTATTTATTAGGCATAATTAAGCATGGATTTACGTTAATCATGAGTCGGGATTATTACAGATACTTACCAATAGTTTGCAATGTTTCTTTGTATGCTTTTATAATTTAGAAAGTTCAGTTGATACTTTATAATAATTTAGGGAGTCAAGTTAATATTTCTCAATAATTGAGGGGTTCTCATAAATAACCCTCATTTTACTTAGGGTTCATTTGGTTAGTATTTTAGTTTAAAAAAATTAGGATAAGTTACAGTTTGACCCTTTATATTTTTCTTTTTTCTTTTTTTACTGTAGCTCTTCATGTTTTAACTTTTTCTTAATTTATTTCTAAAGTTATTTTTTATTTAAAAAATAGACAAAAATGTCATCTTCACTGTTACATAATATAAAAACTATATTATTATATTAAGATTTAAGTTTGTATCAATAGTGTGAGTTATGTATAATGAAATATTTTTATATCATGCGATTGTCAATATGTCATTTTCTGTCTAATTTTAGATATAAGTTAATATTTAAAATAAATTAAAAAAAAAACTTAAAATATAAAGTGCCAAAGTAGAAAAATGACTGGACATAACAGGGGCAAAGTACA